TTACAATGAATTTTAATTTTATATAAAAAAATTTTAATACTATAGTTATAATAATATGAAAATTGGTATGTACGATGAAGCCCACACATCAAGTTCTTGGTTCACCAATTCTCTTGCACGTTTTGGCATAGGCCCAAGAGAGTTACCGCAAAAATATATACTAGGTTCATTAGGATTCAATGACGCTATTTACACCAAAGACAATATGAAAGTTCATTAAGCCTCTGACACATTAAGGCTCACACATTGGGGTTATTAAAGTGCGTACCAACATTACTCATTGCAATATCACCCGCTTTTGGAATATTATATTCTTCTCTCAGGTATTTCAATTTATCGTGTTCATCACGATGCTGCGAAAATTCCACGCTTAAAGGGTCAAGTTTGGCTTTTGAAGCTAGCCTTTCAATAAGTTCACGACAATCTTTAACCTCATGCTTTATTTTTTGATATTTTATTTCATCAGTAAGTTCACCGTGAATTCCTTTAATGAGAGGTGAAATAAGGTCCCACATTTTGTATTTTTTAAATTGAATAAAGTAAAAGTTTACATTGCAAATATATAATAATTATATTTAATGATACTATTTACGTATTAGATCTAATATTATGCTATATATAGTTTGATTTATTAAATATTATGATCCTGTACTTTCTAAAAAAACGAAGTTACCTAACTTACAGTATCAATCGTCAATCGATCGACATTTTCACGAGATAAATTTTTTTTAAAAAAGAATTGGTCGGACCTGCATTTTTAGTGGGCGTAAAAGTAGTGTTCCACAATCACTGTCACTGTTAGAAACAGCAGCATGCTTAACTCATCAAATTTACAATAAGGGTAGAGTGGCGCAATAAAAGGGTGGCGTACACTTATTTTACGAACAAACTTCAAAAAGAAAGTCTGATTACTTTGCGGTAGTTCAAGCGCCACTGTACAGTATTATACATTGAATCTTTTTAATTTAGCCATTCTAGAAAAGTTTAATTTATTTGAGTAAAATCCTATTACGTAATAAAAGCGAGTTGCTGCAAATATTAATACCAAAATTTTAATTTTTTAATCTCACAAACGCCCTTAATAAATTATTACGTATTAATAAATGTTTAAGAATTTTGACAATGAATTCTTCGCTTAATTAATTAATCAGAATGTTATTTATTAATAATTAATTTACTATAAAGTAGCAAAAATATTTTAGAAAGTGACCTAATTATCATATATTTTAAGTTTTCTAACCTTTTAATAGTCAGGCTTTAGATAGGGTTTTAGTTTCGGGTCACAAGTATAATAGATATAGACAAGTTTCTAGAACATAGATATTAAAGTGATTTTATATATTCATAAAAATCGGTAATAAACAGAAAAGAGGCGTTCTGACAAAATCGGGATTTTTATTGTATAAAATGCATACAAATACTCCTAAAAAATCTAAGAAAAAAAGCGATTCTCATAACTTACGTGTAATTAATGTCAGTTAAAAAGAAACTTGCATCAGTTTGATAGCTTTCATATAAGTTAACAACCCTAGGCAAGGCCGAATTTGAAAAATTTTCAAAACCATGATAATGTGTCCAGGATCTGTCAAAAACATGATAAAGAATGCATCCGGATCTGTCAAAACATAGGACTTGGTTTTATATTGCGAGTTTTTGGGATCCTTGCTATGAAAGTGACCTTTCGAGGCTATGTGGATTTATGAATTAGATTTAAATTTGCCAGCGATTCAGTAATCCAATTTGAATAAACGTTTTTTTTTTTTCTGAGTTCACTAGGCTCTATGAAATAAAAAAAAAAGTTTATTCAAATT